AGGCATCTACTCTTCTAAATTATTACGTTGGCTACGAAATTGGGTCCAAATATAATGAACAACCATAGAACAAGCAATTCATACATATGAGATATTTGTGTCTCAGATTTCATAACATCAGGGAATGACTCAACTCATCCATTGATGATTCACTCTTTGGGGATCTTCTCTAATCAAAGAAGTAAAGACAGAATTTTGCATAGGCATTGGGGTTGCCAACACCTCAGAGTATACCATTACATAATGACCAATACTGTGCTGAAGATCAGTCCTCTGAGGTGAAACTTGACAAGAATCAAGGAGCTATATACCCTCAAGCTGAACAGTGAAGACTACCGTTGGCTTGTAGACTGATTCAGAGAACACAAATTTAAACGCCTAAAGAGATCAAGTAGATGATGTAAATTGATAAAGAAAGCTGAATGTGAATCAATAGGGAACAGTGAAGATTGTGACAAAGTACTCTGTAAAAAGGAGATGGACACTCAAATTCCAATGAAGTGTTCCCATGCTAGCCCGTGTAGTCCATGTTGCCTGATTTGGCAATTTTTAAAGAGAAACTAAAGAGAAATTTACATGTTCACATGAAATTTCCCATTTTGCATGTGTCATATAAAACATGTTTGAAGGTCAGAGCTGTCTGACCTTGGGCTTCAAGTTACAACACCTACATAAATCCATAGTCCCTGATGCCTTCTGAAAGGGAGTTTGATGGTCAGAATGTTGAAAGAAAAGTAATTTTAAATACTTTGACTTGTCATTCCCACAAATATTTTGTGAGACATGTTAGGACATGTCTCGAATTTTAATTTGGAAAATATAACATTGATAATGCTAGCTGGCATTCTGGACCTCCTTCTAAGTTAGCAGAATTCCTGCAAGGCTGAGAAGAGAGAACAAACAGGCCTAAATATTAAAGGGTGAAAAGAAGGTTGAACTGGACAATATGTTTATTTTAGGACTTAAGGAATGTTCAAAACTGCCTCAATGTTTTCCAGCTCTGGATACATGCTTCCTTTTCCTTCACTTGCTCACGCCCCTCAAAATTGAAATACTTTTGCCCTGTTATTAGGAAATTACATTTGAGTCACCCTCAGAGGTCAAGTCCATGATGAGGGTGCCGATCTACAGGCAATTACAGCTCCTTTCTGAAATTTTGATCGAACATCAGCAAAACCTGCCTCTCAACCTGAATTCCTTCCAACCCACTAAATAACAGATGGTATTACTGACTTTCTTGAGATACACTCACACACACAAACAGACACACACAAATACACCTTTCCGTGACAGAACATACAGTTCTGCTCTGGTGTTAGAAGCACCTTGAGCTTATCAAGCAACAGAATAGGCGGCAGGGAGAGAGATGAGTCGGTGGAAAAGCTGATCCCCTTTTAACTCCCAGCCCCAATTAAGGAGTGCAGGGCATTTAAGGTCTACCACATATCTGTGTGGGGCGGGCATTATTTGGTGAAACCCAGCCTTTGAACAGGAAATGGGAAGGTCATCATTTAGGGCTGGAGCATATGTAGAATAATGATGACACTCTTTGCTGAAGTCAAACCTAAATTTGCTAAATAGCCCACCAAGCAGTAACAGGGCACTGCCTTCAGACGCCCGGGCTACTAAGTGTAGGGAGCAACAAAAAATACCCTGTCAACCCAACCAAGTCCGATAATTACCCTGACTGCAAAACACCAAGGCACGGAGCACTGGAAACCTTTTAGGGGCTCCTTTATCATGCCCTGCCTTTTCCAGAATGAGGCTAATTTGCTCCTATTTCAGACAGCTCCAGCACGCAGAGAGAGCAGGCGAAGGAGAGAAAAGAGAATGAATCGTCAGCGTTATTGAAAAGATTCATGATTAGTCACACTCCCTTGCAAGCCAGGTCCTTGCCAGACACCACACCACTCATTAGCAGACCTGAGAACTGGCGTGCCTCCCACAGCTGAGCAACAGCTCCAGGCCTGGCAGGCCCCCGGGGACCCACAAAGTCTTGTTCTCCCACACCCTGCAATGAGAAAGGCCAGTTTGGGCAGGCCCGGGTGCAATTGGCTCCCCAGATGCTAAGTGAATCTGCTTGTTTTATGCTTTGTGTTGTTTAAAATATAATTATTCAGGAGCTCAGCTGGTGTGGAAATGAAGGGAACATCTCTTCGTGTTACACTGAAACAGTTATCTGACTGGGCTGCCATTTTCTCCCCATATTTCCTTTGGAGGAGCCAAGAGCTGGGCACATCCGTGGGTTATCAGCATTGCCCCTCCCTGGCCCCCTCATTTTTAGCTACAACTCATAGTGCTCCTCTTCCTGGAACTAGAAACATTTCTTTTTCTTGTCTGAGTAATACCCACAATTGTAACTTAAATTTATAGCTCTCGTCATTGAAGGACTAGATTGCAGGAGACAGAACGGGCCGTAGGAATCGTTCATGTCAATTCCCACGACAATGGGGAAACCGAGACTGAGAGGAAAACCGACTTGCTCAAAAGTGTAAAACAAAGAAGAGGAACCAGGTGCCTGCTTTTCTGTTTAGTTCCTTTCCATTTTGTTAAAGCTACAATCCCATAGGAGAAGATATCACTTCTATCTGGGACAGTAAATCATTCCCCACTTTATGAAAACCCACATCACCTCAGAAACATAACTCAATAAAGTTCAATCAAAATTAACCAGGCAGGTGAGGCTTCTGCTGGTGCTGGGAATCCTCCATAGGGGCCCTGAAAGCAGAGGACACGGGGCTAAGATGCCATAAGCGACCACAATAAGCACTGAACGCAGTGGGCCACCATCCTTTACCTCAGAGAAATGTGGGGCCAAAATGAGCTCTTGTAGAGAGAAGACTCAGGTGACCCAGTGCAATGCAGAGGCCTGGCATCATTCTTGCCAACATTACTATGGAGCCTTATTCCAGAGCTTGCATTATTTGGTATACACTGACATGCACATTCATTTAGATTTATGGTACCTGAAAAATTGGTCCTGTCACTAAAAGATCTACCTCTAAAAGATAAGAGTTTAAAAACCACCACTCACAGCATAAGTGTGACTCAAAGCGCTCACACTCCATTACTTCAGGCTGGAGATGCTCCCACAGTGTCTTCTCAAAGGTGTTGAGCAAGCAAGTGTGGTAAGTCCTGGGAGACATTCCTGTGAGTTTTTAGAGTTTTCAAAACTCTCTGCAAAGTCACTAAATAGTACTTCACCTAAAGGAAACACATTGGCAACCTTAGAGATAACTGTGAAGCTTGACACGTGAACTCCTCCTCCTGCTGAGAAGGGGCCATGGGGAGTGTGAAGTGGCACAGCCAGCCCCTGCACACATGCTTCAGTCTCCCGCTAATGGGGTTCAGGTGCCTGCATATGCACACCCCTGAGGACAATTTTTTTGCTTCCTATCTTAGCATGATTTGCTCTTGCAAATAATGTAATAGCTGACAGGTTTTGTCCATTTTTCCCAGGCACCATTTTAAGCATGTTGACTCCATTCGCCTTTCCCCAAATCCTGTGAGGAACCATGTTCCTCATTTACATGTGAGGGAGCTGATACACAGAGCAACATTACTCACACAGGAACCATACATAAGAAATGCCCTTTAAAACAGTAATTTTGAAATGCATCTCCCTCTAACTGCTAACTGTTATCACATTCTACTCTCTCCTTTCTCCCTGGGATTTGGTAAATAGTTTGTAGTTATCGAGTAACAGGAAACCTGGCTCTTCCACCCCTTGACTCTGAGTCCTGGTGACAGATGCACCCACGTGACCTATGGGTTTCTGTCAGGAGAGTGCCTCTGGGCCATTGTGGGGAGACACTCAGCTGTGCATCTGAGCACTGAGGGGTGGGCACAGTGCTGCCTGTCCCCTCTCATCATCCTCATCTGTGGCCTTCCTACTCCCCACAGCTTGGCAACATGTTGGCAGGTCGCTGGCTATAAGCCTGTCTTCTGCACACAGGTCCTGTCACTATAATAACCATATTTTCTCTTGTGGTGAAGAGTAATTGAATTAAATTGGGCAGCATTTGATCCCAACCATACTAATTGCCTGATCCAATCGAGGCCTCTGTGAGGTCATGGGCAGGAATGAGAGGGGCTGTCAAGCAGATGTCCGTGTCCTGCAGGCCTGGCCATCGTGCTCTTATTTCCATGCAGACCCCGCAGACCCTCCTCCTCCACGCAGAACCCTCTGGAGAGCTCACGGAGCTGGTGAGCGACCAGGAGAATCCTCAGGTGTGTGGGGAACACAGCAGAGCTGGCAGGGAGCAAAGTTTGACTGATGTCACAAGCCAAACTTTGGACATGCAGATGTTTGAACAGAAATGATGCAAGCACAGGCGGGTCAGTGCTGTCCATAAAGACAGGCTCAAAAAATCCTCAGGGTGCGTGTGTATGCGTGTGCGTGCGTGTGTGAGGGGGAATTAAGTTTTACTCTGGTGACATCTCAAACTGCTCATGGTTTAAAAGTCACATGTCTTTAGCAAACAAGCAGCCCCGGGAGTCTTTATCAAGAGTAAATTATGTGGGGTTTTTGCTTATCTAAAAGTAAATAACAAACACAGATGACTGGCTTTAAATGTCTAACTAGCTCTGCTTTTGCTTCTTGCTGCAGATAAAATTAAATATAGACATCAACATCTAAATTTATCAGTAGGATGCACCAGCGGACACCAGGAGAGGAGATGGGAGGAAGTCTCAGGGTTATGCCTTTAAAAACCTGTCATCCTTGCCCTTGTTCCCACTGTCCTTTCAGCCCTGGTGCTCCTGCTCATCTTCCAGACTTGAAACTGAGTGACCTTTGTCATCACTTAAGCCCCTCTCTCCTGACCTTCACGCCCTAATCCTGTAAGGCAAACAAGGGAATAAAAAAAGACACTCAGATTTTAAGGCCACCTGCAAACACAGCTCTGCTTGTGAAACACTGACGAGCTTGACTTCCGCCCTCAGAGGCCACCTCTGTCACCTCATTGTGAGGTCTTCATGGCTGGTTGGCTCTCAGTGAACCAAGCAATCACAAAGCGAGGCTGGGAGGAATTTGGCTAGAGACCCAGGGCCTGCTGGGAGCAATGCAGGGCTGGATTTGAGAACAGTAAGCTACAGCAGCGCGGCACAAGGACCAGAGGGTAAACATCACTGTCCTTGTAAGGAGCCCAGAGGACATGGTCCTTGATCATGTCTGTTCTCACCTTATTGCTCAAGGAGGAGGTGGTGGGAGGATTTCTCTCTTCATTCATATTCAGAAGGTTCAGCTTGTAGGAGAGGATAAGGATCTGTGGGCTGAGCGAGAAAGGAAGTCCTAAACACCCAATAATTTTAAAATTATGGGTTATGACACATTAATGACTCCCAGGATGGAGAAAGTTTCCATTGGGACATATGATTCAGCCTCGTAAGAGAGCCCAGTGCCTTCAATATGCGCCAACTTGGTTCCCAACCCACTAATCCTCTAGAGTCCAACCAACTCCTTCCAAGTGAGAGGGCCTCCTCAGAGACAGGATGAATCACCTTTACAGTATTGATACAGCAAAGGGAGAGACCTTGCTGGGCTGCATGGAAGCACTTAAAGTGGGAGTTAACATCTAATGAGGACAAGGAAGAGAAAAACCTCACAGGTGGCTTTATAAACACTAGTATAGACTTTATACTTAAATCCTGAAACCCTTGAGAAGGATTGTTATGTGAACATGGCTAGTCTGCTCCTATTCTAGGCTGTTAAAGTAAGTGGAAAGTGGGTGAAATCTAGTGCTAAATAGATTCATACTGTGGTCCAGGAACTCTCCTGATACAAACTGGTGGAGCATAATCAAATCGCAGACCCACTGTGAATTCAGCACCAGCTGCTACTTTCTCCTGTCCTTCACCTGCTTCCTTCCTGCATGTTCCTCATTTATACTGATGTTCTACAGGTGCTGTCTGTGACTGTCTTTTCTCACTCTGCACTCTACAGGCATTTATTAACAGGGATTAGGCTACCATGTGCATGTTCTGCCATGCTTTCATCCAGATGTTTAGGTCTGCACTCTCTCTTAAACTTCAGTTCATTCAGCAACATTAATGGAGACCTTACCATGAGACAGGACTGGGCCCTGAACATAGGTAAATGAATAAAACATAGTAATTTCTGCCAAGGCTCACAGTTTTGTACCAGCTACCTACTGAATTTTTCTCACAAACTTACATTAATAATAACCATGATAATTTCTAAAAACCTGCTACTAATTTTGAGAACCTACTGACCTGTTTCATGTCAGCTGTTACAATGCAAGATAGCCCAGCAGAGCACACAGGCATGGCCGTGCTTGTTTACAGACCAGGTAAGGCTCAGGTGCATCTCCTCCCTACAAGTTTTCATCAGAGCCCAACCGTAAGGCAACGAAAAGGGTCACGGAACAGGTCACACCCTGATAATCGTGTATTATAGAGACCATTTTAGCTCCGATTTAGGGTCATGGTGCTTCTCTAACTTTTGTATTTGTGATAAGACATGGAAAGTATTGGTAGATAATTTAAATTTGAAGTAAAATTGACATACCACTTTTTTTTTTAAAGCTGTGGTAGGTCTCAGTGATTTTTTTTTTAATTTTTTTTTTTGTAAAGAGGCATGCATTTTTATTTATTTATTTGTTTGTTTGTTTGTTTGTACATGCACTGGGTACAGTCAGAAGCACGGGAGGGTGAGAGAATTCACCAGAGCCAGAGCGGGGAACAGAACAGGCAGTAGGAACGAAATGCACTGCTGAGGGAAGCAGCTGGTGGCAGGAGAGGTCTGCGTGCCATGTGGGGCCCTCACCAGTGGCTGGGGATTGAACGGCGCTGCAGAGGCTGAGGGCAGCTTCACAGCCCAGCGCCCAACCGCTGCGCCACCAGGGGAGGCCTGACATACCACTTCTTTTTTAAGCTTCCAGAACAGTTGAGTACCCCAAGATTGCAAGTTGAATTCCTTTGCGACTAGTTCTCTGAGTGAACACATTTTATCAATGTTATATAATTAGAACCTCACATATGTGTATATGTTACACACACGCACACCCAATGGAAGTTGAGTTTGTCACAAATAACCCCGAATGGCTGCATTAATTAAAATCTCTTTTGTTTTCACTCACTGATTTTTTAACTGTTTTTAATTTGAACTTACAAACGAAATGTTCCCTAACAAAACATTGCCATTATTTGTTTCATATATAGGGGTTCTCCATAAAATTTTGTTTAAAGGAAAAATATCTACTGTTGAAGAAGTTTGAAAACCTTGGAACAAACCCATAAACTTAGCTCTGTCCACAAGGCCCCTCCTGGCTGGCCCTACCCACTGCCTCAGGCTCACATCCTTTTACTTCCCTCACACACACCCTATAGCTCCATGGCCAAAACCACCTGCTCTCTTCCATGTGAGTCTTTGTTTATACATGCCATGTTCTCCAATGGAATGTCCTTTTCCCGTCTCATCATTTACTCTCCCTTGAACATCACCTCTGGGAAGTTGTCCTGGCTTCTCCCAGACAGGAAGTGTGTTCCCATATCTGTGTCACATGAAAATGTTTCCCCAACACTTCCCTAATCGCTGTAGTTCTTTGTTTATATGTCTGAGTTTCTAGACAGCAAGAGCTGTAATTTATTTATATTTATTTACTTGGTGGCTACCACTGCTAGCTCCTAATTTGTACTTAATGAATGTGTGTTGAATGAAGGAATAAACAGACGAACAATTTAATAAGAACCCAGTTTAGTCCTGAAAGGATTTGAGCTTTTAATTTTCTAAAATGCCCTCGGTTGATATGTAATGCCTACTAAATACAACCCCTGCTTTTGCTATTTATATGAATTGCCTCATTTAATCCTTTGAACCAGTACCATGAGGTAGTATGTAAAATTATTATAATTTTTCAGACGAAACAACTGCGGCTCGAGAAGATACTGTCACATGACCACATTCCCCTAGGTAGCAAAAAGCAAAGTTATACTTGATCCCAAACTCTCACTCAGCTTGCACTCCTCAGGATGCCCCTGGCTGCTCACACAGAGAAGGCTGGATGCACCACACAGAGACCATCTTCCTCTGCAGTCAATGGTCAAAAGATGTGGTATGTTTGAAGTACCGATTCCATTTTTTCTCCTGTCATTTTTTTCTGCTGTCAAGCCCGACATCAGGCTTGCAAAAGACCAGGGGGAGATGTAGAAATATGAGTTTTGGGGTCACAGAATCTTGATCATGAATACCTAGTTTACCCCTATTTGTCTCACAAACCTTCAGTTTGATCACCTTTAATACAAGTCTGTAGCACCAGCATAATGCTGATTGATATTAATGTTAGAATAAAATGAGCATGAAATATCTAATATACTCATTTTCCTGTCCTCTTCTATGATAATAATTACTTGATTCTTATGTGCTATAAGGTTTAAAAAAATAAGCTCATTAGAATCACACCAAAAATAAGCATAAACATGGTTTGGCGGTGGTATTCTTTGAGTAAAGCATATGAGCTTTAGAACGAGTCTTCCAGCATTTACTTCAGCAGCACAGGCATCTTTTCAGTCTTCCCGATTCTTGTCCATCTTCTAGATAGACCAGGTTGGGTTCTTGTTAAGAGAGGGTCCCTGGGAGTCCTCAGCCTCACCTGACTCGCCACATGGTGGCAGTACACCACCCATTCATTAACCCTAGTCTTTTACATGAGTGTGTAAAAAGGAAGAGCTCCATTAGGGGCCAATCTCCACTTCTCAATCTCCCACATTGGTTTTGATGCCAATTCTCTCTTACTCTTTATGGTGATAGCACGTGCAGTTTGTGTGTGTGTTTATGCCCTCATTTTGAATGACATGCAGCTTTGCCAAAGTCAAACTATACACATTTCATTAGACCATTTTCACTGGGAGGTTTTTCTTACACAAAATTATCTACAATTAAAAATGTAGAGAAATTTTCTCAGCATGGCACAGCTTTGGAAAAGACAGGAACAAAACCGCTATCGAGAAAGCAATTTATCGTGCAGTAATTTTCTAACTCTGTCCTGCAGTTATTAAGATAGTAGCTTGTAGGGAGCTCAGAGCCGGGTCTCTCCACTTAGTCTTTCATAATGGGCTGTGTCTCACTTCAACCCATTGTCATGGAAGTAATTATGCCACACACCGAGAAGGATGATTTACTAAGGGGTGAAAGAGGAAGCAATTGGGTTCAAAATGAAAAACAATCTTCTTACACATGAGGCAAAGAACTGTGATGAAGTGGGGAGGATCCAAGGAACTCGGTTTTATGGAAGAGTAATGTGTACAGAAGTTTTGAAATAAAATATGAGGATACCATAGTAACTCATGACATGAGTGAAATCCCTTTTCTGATGTCCCCTTTCCGTCCCCCACATTTTCTACCACAGCACAGGGTTAGATGGTCCAAAATAAATAGCATCTTTACAGATGCTATATTTCTTGTACCAAGCATTCCAATTGAATCATTGTATATCTTTCCTATAAGCCTGGAAATGAGTCCCAAACTCCAAGACTGTAGATGTGATGTGGGAAATCATCTTGTCCCAAATTGAGACTTTCCCAAGAAGATCAAAAATTACACTGGAAACATCAAGCAATAATTTTTCTTAGGTCAAGGACAAAAGACACAGCCAAGGACACAGATTCTTCAGTATAAAGGGTCAAATAATTTGTCAAAAGAGAATATGGGATCCAGGGTTGGAAGGTGCTGGTGGACGCGTGGGCCGTGGCATTTATCATGTCTCTGCACTTGGGTTGTCTCAGAAACAGAGATTACAATCTACATCATGTGGTTGTTCCAGTGACCAAGTTAGACAATGGATATGAAAGTGCTTTGCAAGCTGGCAAGTGTTATTTAAAGGCTACTTATTCTACCTGTGCTCACTCCATTCATTTTTCCCTCCTCAGTGGGCTACAGAATCCAATCCTGTAGCACTGAGATATGAAAGTCTGCGGCCTACAGGGCAAGAACATACTTATAATGCACACACACCACCTGGAAGACAGCCTGGAAGGATGTGTGAGCTGAGAAAGAAGAGAATGAAACCCATAGATAAGCAGCAACTTTCTGCCTCCTTGGGGTGGGGGTGGGGTAAGGGGAAGCAGATCTGTGCACTCAGTCTAGCCCAGCCTTGGTCTAGCACTGAAACTCTAGGGT